TATATATATATATATATATATATATATATATATATATATATATATATATATCTTTATTATTCTTCAAAAATAGATCAAATCACTTTCCTAATATCAATACTAAACCACACACAATTTTCCTCACTTTTCCCTTGAAAGCTTCGAACAATTCGCCGAGCATCAGTTAGGTGAGTAAAGAATGCCATTAAGTGTGCTCAAAAACCTATTAAACCAATAGCTTAATGTCAGCTAAAAGCAATTCAGAAGCGAGTAAAAGTAGTTGAAAGTATATTTCAGCTCAATTTATTTACTTTGCATACGCGTGGCACATTGTTGGTCGACGTTTTATGGCATTCACCGCATGATAACAAAAAATTATTGATAAATAATATCAATTTGAGCCATGACAACGGACGCAGCCACACACACACACACACACACACACACGCACGCACACATGTACACTGTTTTATGATGTGGGTGCATGGATAAATGTGGATGCTTTGACACTGACTGATGCTGATGGATGGCACTTGTACTAACTTGACTAAGCTGCCAATCAGCTAGCCCTTAAGCACTTACCGCACGCTTATCGACTCTTTTGTCTATCTAAAATTCGAACGATTTTTATTTTCATTGGTACACTGGAAACAGTATCATGATATAAGGGTGCCACATATTTTACAGCACTTGATGTATTTTTTTTTCATTTCTCTCGTCTGTTTTTTACACCCTCTTTAAATATGAAATACGTTCACTCTAGAAATTTTAATTTGGCCGCCTGAAAGTATGCTACACTTTCGTTCAGATATTACTTTGATAATCTCGAGCATTTTGTTGGCTTTATTACACGCAATTACGCAACTTTGCTACATATTTTTCACTCATTATTACATAATGAGCTCCGCATAGGGTCCGAGCGCACATTAAATATCATTTCGGCCGCTGCCGAAAATTGAACTGAAATTTAAATTTACAAAAATTTGCAAGTCCCCAACAATTTCTCTTTCGCCACAGTTGCTGTCTGCCGTTTCCCTTTACAGTTATAGTCAAATATATATATATATATTTATATATATACATCTGAATGCTGGACTGTGTTTTGACCATCACAGCGGGCGCAATATAAGCAAATTCCAAATGTACTTCAAACCGAATTCTTAATACTCTCAGAAAGAACATAAAAATTTTTTTTTTTTTTTTTTTGCTTAATATTTTATTATTATTTTAATAACACAAGTCTAAAATATTTATTTAAATATTTGTATTGAATTTTCAAAAGTTTTAATTAAGTTTTTCTTTTATTACTTTAATTTAATATATATTTTCGTTTATTTCTAACTATATCTTTGGGTCCTACGACTTTATCCACATGATCCTTGGTAGCAGCAGCGCTAAGCTAAGCCAAATTTTCAATTTGACTGGTACCAAGGCGACGTCGCTGCTGCTGTGGGTTTTACATTACATTTAACTTTTCTCGCCTTATATTTTATTCAAATGTTTTTGCCGCAGATAAGTTGCTGCTGCTTGAGTGCCTGACATTTCCCACTTGGCTGCCGTGAAAATGCTAAAGAAAAGCAGAGCCAGACGGATAGGGTGAGACAGAGAATGGGACAGACACAGAAAGAGAGAGATGGCGAGTGTGAGATTGAATTGCAGGCTGTGCGAAAGGCCAAGCAAGTCCGGATTGTAACATTATCAAAAGCGTCCCAGCGCGCACTCATTGTCCACGCCGACGACTTGACACGCAGCCTCGTTCGACTGCTCTGCTCTACTCTGCTCTGCTCTGCTGCTGTGCTCTGTTCATTTCATTGAAAATTCCATGCCTTGCTATTTATGGGTCAAGGAGGATGGAGAATGCCCTCTTCCAAGCCAGCTCAATGACCATTAGGCGGATCTTCTAGTCCCAATTTGGAAACGTTTCTTGTTTTTGCTTCCCTCGCTCCAGGGCCAGGTGACCTGCCCGAGCTGCTGGTCAGCATAATCAGCGAATTAAATTCGCAGCGAACTTTAAGTGAATTGAAAAAAAAAAGATAGAACTTTTGTGGTACCCCCGGCTGGGGCCATTAATTGAGTTGCAAAAAGCACAAGGTACACAAAATTTCATTACGTATACGACCCGGTTCATGACCAGGCCGCAACTGCTGCGAAAGCCAACTGAAAGCCTGACAAGAGTTCACCATAAACGTCATTAGTTCTAATAACATTTACACCAAAGCAAACTTTGTCACACCAACACACACACACATACATATATACACACCCACCCACAGTCTCGCTGTCCGGGCATAAATTAATCCGAACAAATCATTTGTTGACTCGCGCCGCACTTTAATCGAGATTTAACGCTTTCTAATTACTTGCTATAAACAACTCTTACAGCAATTTTTTTTAAATAAGCTTTAAATTAGCCTTGCCAATGTTGCCTAATTATTGTGAAATCGGCGAACTCTCTGGAAACCATTTAAATAAATATTCTGCATAAATTATGTGAATAAATAAATAGCTAAGTGCCCGGAAACGTGTTAATTTGGCTAAGCGCACATTTCTTGCCAATTCGTGTACGGCTCTTAACTTTCTAAAATGTGCGCAAGTGTACAAATATACATACATATATATTGCATGAGCATGTTTTCTTTTTTGAAACGAGCAAACGATTTTGAAAGGGTAGCTCAAAATTTAAATATATTATAGATTTTATTTATTTATTATTTTGGATTTTAAGGCATATGTATTTATATTATAATATATTTTATTATTTTTTAAAAACTCAGGAAAGTATGTTTCAATTTTGTTAAGGAGTATGTAAGGACTTTTTCAATAATAACAATAAATTTCAACAGAATTTGATTGCATTATCTATCTATGATTTTGACATGTTTTCTTTGGCGTAAAAAAGAAAATAAATAAACAAAGTTTACACTATAATATTTTTTCTTTCATTATCCCAAAAAAAAAAAGCTTCTTTGCTGTTTCCTAATAAATAATATAATAGAAACAGATATAAAACAAAACAAAAAAACCCGCAATATCCAACGGTGATAAAAAGTTTTCAGTTCAGCTTTTCTTTGCATTTCAATTACACAAGCTGTTGTCGCTATTCTAGGGTATTCAAGCTTTATTACCTTAATTGTTGTTGTGATTTTATTTTATTTAGCTCTCGGCCATTTTGTGCTATGGCCATTTTGGCCACTGGTTGGCTCTGCTAATTCGCATTTTCATTTGTTTTCTCGCCCTGTTTGCGCTTCAATTAACAACAACTTGTTACATGCGCAAATTGCACTAAGCTCTCGAGAGAAACAGAAATAAATAAATAAATAAATAAACGCGAAGCAAAAATAAGAAAATAAAAAATAAAAAAGAAACGAACATATATTAACATTTATGTATGTGCATATACATAGGCATATACATATACAATATGTATGTATGTATATAACTGCCTACATCGGTAAAGCTGCGTAAGGTTTTCATTTTTGGTTGGAGAGGTGAAATAAATTCGCAGGTAAATGGCCCATTTGCTGGGCGGGTGCTAATTTCAGAGGAATTTCGAATTTATGAAATTTACAGGTCTACAAATACACGCACACACACACACACGCACTCTCACAGACATCAAGTACTTGTGGGAAACAATTAAAATACAGAGACTTGGACTTAATTCAATTACAGAAGACCTTTAAATAAATATCTCGTCAAAGTTATTTATATTTTATTAAAGTAATTTTTAAATAGCTTACACACATTTATTTACATGTAATAGCAGTTTAGAGCTAATTTCAATTAATTAATAAATACAGCTAATTTAATTATAAGGGCAACTAAGGCTCACAGGGCGTATGTGTGATAAATATAACAAAATCCATATTCTAATTATAATTAACATTCACTTGAATTGATTTAGGCTGAAGCAAGTTAATGTATCTCATTAGGCCAACTTTTGATACTCTTAGACTAAGTCCCTATCGATAACTCTTAAGATCAAGCAACTATTGTACTAAGAGCGAATGCACATCTTTTGCTCGGAGTGCTCGTTCATGAATTGGCGATTGAATAAATAAAGATTTATGCACGCATGCAGCATCTGAATGTCACTCGAATGAAAGCCAAGCAATCGATTCAATAATAATAAACTTCTCGCTTACCCCGACCCACCCCCTGCGTCCCTACCCAATTTGGCTAACGAAAATGGTAACCGATGCCATTTTCATATCAATTCTGCTCTGCTACGCAACTGTCATGGCACAATGGTATCCAATTTGCAAGTGGGGAATGCTCGTAAATAGTGCTATGAGTGTCGAGCATCGTTTGTGCATTCATCAATGTTGGCTATTGGAGGCTGCATCTACGATTTGGCCATAAACGAGAATAGCTGCGATTAGCTTAAATTGCACAACATGCTCCGACGATTGCACGACACAATAAAGCAATAAACGAAAGCCACGGACTGCTCCCGTAAAGGTCAGCAGCAAATGAAGTGGCTTAGGGATTCACATAAGTGCCCCAAAGATGTTGCTGCTGCTGTTGCTGCTGCTGCGACAGCTGTTGCTGTTGATCATGTTGCTGCTGCTGCTGCTGCTGCTGTGGGGATTCAGGCACATAGTGTGCATAGCCAATATTATTAGTCTGGGCCTGCGCTGGGTAGCTGCCCATGTGGTCGTAGTAGGCGCCCGGGGAGGCCAGGCACTCGACGGGCTGGGAGCTGGCGCTGGAGCAGGCCGAAGACAGCGAGGCGGATGAGTTGAGCGGCGGCGAGTGTGCGGCCACAGCGGCGGGCGCGTTCGGCATATGCTGCTGCGTTAGGGGCAGCATTTGATCCATAAGATACTGGTCCATTTCCTTGGGATCAATGTCGACTGCCGCCGGCTTGCCCAAGTAATTTAGCGCTCCATTGGCGTGTGACGCTGATGCCGCGCCGGCAGCTGGAAAGCTGCTACCGTTGTAGCCGTAGCTGGTGTAGCTGCCACGCGTGCCGTAGCCATACCCGCTGATGTTCTCCAGAAAGTCCATCTCCTGCACACCGCCCACGCCAACGCCCACACTCACTCCGTTTCCGTTCTGTGCTGTGTAGTTGAGCTCGCCCAGCGCAATATATTCCCGGCCCGCGTCCAGCAGCACGCCGTAGTCGTTGTTGTTGTTGCCGGCGCCGCCGCCGCTGCTCGGCTCGCTCAGCTGCCGCAGCAGCAAACTGTTGCCCGTCGTCTGCTTGGCGACGCCCGTGTAGGGCGTGGCTGGCGGCGTCAGCGATGACATCGAGCTGGCCGTCGAGCACGGCGAGTCGAGCAGCCCGCGCTCCGTTTCGCTGCCCAGCGAGAGGCCCTGCTCCAGCAGGCTGGCCGCGCAGGCGCTGTTCAGCGACTTCATGAATGCCTCGTTGCTGAAGACGTCGCTGGTGCTGGTGGCAGTGCTGCCATTGCTGCCGTTGCTGCCGTTGCTGGCGCTGCAGAGAGTGGAGCTGGCGCAGCTGTTGTTGCTGGCCTTGCTCGTGCGGCGCTGCGGTGCTTGGCCGCCGGAGCTGCGACGCGCCGTAGTAGAAGTTGCTGTTGCTGCTGCTGTGGTTGTTGCTGGCGTGGCAGCAACAGTTGCTGCCGTGCCCGCTGCCTCCGACTGTGGCATGAGGCGAGCCTTTTTGCGCCGCGGCTGATATTTATAGTCGGGATGCTCCTGCTTGTGCGTCATGCGCAGCTTCTCGGCGAATTCCATGAACGGCTTCTTATCGCTATCCTTCAGATTTCTGCGAAAGAAAGAGACAAAGCGAGAGAGAGACAAAGAGAGAGAGAGTGAGATGTAGTGCGCAATCAGCGATTTTATTTATGGCCACTTCCAGTCAAATGTTCGTTTATTTATTGGTCTACAAATTGGCCGGCGAGTGACAAGCCCTGCGGCCTTCTAATTAACTCAAGGCGGATGCTTTGCTGGCTCTGCACCCTTATCAGCGCATTCTCGACATTTCGACGCGCTTATCGCGCACCCGCTGAACTGTGAGATTTTAATTTCCAAACCGATTTGTTCTTACAAACAATGTGAAGACGGCACCGACATCTATCACACACACACACACACACACATAGTTCAAAATATATGTATATACAAATTGTCGCATATAATTGCAGCTGTAGTGCGAATAGGAAAATGCTGTGAGATGACCATAGAGCGTACCTAAGATATGAATATGAAGCAGAGTTCAAAAGGGGATTTTATTTACTATGTATTTATTATATTAGTTGTGTACACTTTAGACTTTTCATATATAATTTCTGTATAATTCGTCCGGCAAAAATTTATTTGGGAAAAAGGGAATAATGTAGAGCTTTAGATTTTCAAGAAATGCTGATAAATATAGGCTTGACTAGGCAATGAATACTGTAGAAGCATTTCTGTTTGTTAAATTATTTAGCACGATCTTTAATTCAAGCCTAACAGAGCTTAGCTGTATTTGCTTCAGGGTATTCATCATTCACTCTAGTACCATTGTCATATAATAATAATATTATCGTGGGAGGCCTTTCTGTTTGATGGACTGTTCAGCCTAATCGAGATAACTTGATAGTTAATACTCAAGATAATTATTACTCTAGAAAAACTTGCGTAAAATAAAACCTTATCTAAGTTTCCCATTTTAAAGATATCTCTAATATTATTCTACAATCTATCTATGCAGACTTCACTCCACTCATACTTACTTCCACAGTTTGCCCAGCGACTTGCTCAGCTCCGAGTTTTGCAGATGCGGATATTGCTTGGACATGACGCGACGTGCTGCTTGGGCCCAGACCATGAAAGCGTTCATAGGTCGCTTGATGTGCTCCTTTTTGCGATCGGAGGGTGCTCTGGAAAGGTGAAGGCAACAACAATGTGAAATGAGTTTAAATGGCATATTTTATGCAAGTTTCTGTTTTGGCAAGTGCAAATGCTTCACAGCCCTTACTTGACATTAATTACACGAGAAACAAACAGCAACGGCAGCAACAACAACAACAAATGAAGAGCAACAACAAAAAATTGCTTTGCCAAAGTGTTTTTCCGTTGGTAGCGGTTGCCGCCGTTGGCGATGGAAAATTCGCGAATTATGTCTAACTATAAATTGCAATTAAAACTTTTATTTGTCAGGGGCAAGAAACAGAAGCTGCGCCCAAGGCTAACAAACTTCTGGATTGCAGCAAGAACTTTATATTGACTCAAACAAACAAACAAACAAAAAATAAGTACAGAGAACAGAAAGATTTTGGGGAGTACCAGACTAGGTAATACCCAAATGCAAAGAGAGATAGAGACAGATATAGATATCAAGTGCAGTCATTAAGCCTGACTTTGACTGTAGAGCATATTCATCCATAGATCGATCGCAACATCTCCATTGCCTAAAACCTATATACCTCGCACAGCGACTTGCTCTGCCTGAAGCTCATGAAAAACAACAACAACAACAACAACAATAGCAAGAGCAACCTGCATAGGGAACCACAAGATTGCAACGTCTGCGAATGGCTGCTGGGAGCCACAGCAATGCCAAAAAGCTTAACTAGAAATGAATCACAAATATATATGTAGTATATAGTATATAGTAGCTATAGCATATAGTATATATAGTAACTAGCAAAATATAAATGCAATCTATTGCCAAAGCATTCTCATTATTATCTACCGTCTATAGAAATCTATTCAAATTGTAAGCCATCTGCAAAGGGGAATTGAAATCAAATTCTATGGCAACAGTCGAAATGTGCAATTGGCTGCCATTTCGCCTGATGGCCAACATGACCCACATCGCTTGGGCAAGAAACTACAATTTGCTGGCTTTTCGTGTCATTCGGGCAGCATAACAAGAAAATTAAGAAATATATGGCTTACCACACAAAGCCTCTGTGTCTCTTTGTCGTTTTCTCTCTTCTTTTCATATCTTATTTATCCCTCTCTCTCTCTCTCTCACTCTCTCTCTCTCTCTCTCTCTCTCTGTCTTTCTCTCTCTCTCTCTCTCTCTCTCTCTCTCTCTCGATCTATCTTTTTATACCCTGAACCCATTGAAAATGGGAAATCAGGGTATAATGGTTTTGTT